GGCTTGTTTTACAACGTCGTTGCCAAGCGACGAAAACCCAACCCCGATGGCAAACACCGGGGGGGGCGAGTGGGGGGGGGCATTGCTTTGCCCACCACCTGGAGACTTTGGGACTTCGACTTGGACGAGCCGAGCGTAGAGTACCCTTTTCGCGCGCTGGTTGGGTCGCTGCTGTGGATTGCCTTGTTGACTAAGCCAGATATCGCGAATTCGGTAAGAGCAGTGGCGAGGTACTGAAGTGCACCGAAGTTGATCCACTGGAAAGCTGCACTTAGCATTTTAGGATATGCAGTTAGGACTAGTTCTTTGGGGACTTCTTTCAGTGGGGAACGGTTTCGGGATATTCTTTGATTGCGCTTGTCGACGCGGATTACGATTCACGTGCGGCAGACCGTAGGTCGGTTTCGGGAGGGGTAGTGATGTGTGCAGGAGGGGCGATTGCATGGTTCTCCAAGACTCAAAAGTGTGTGACTTTGTCTACCACGCAGGCAGAATACGTGGCGGTGGCGGACATGGGGAAGGAGATTTTGTTTTTGAGGCAGGTTTGGCGTTTCATGTTGCCTAAGGAGTTGCGGCCGTGCATTCCCCTGTATGAGGATCACGAGGGGGCTATCCAGATAGCAATACACCCGATCTCGAATTTCAACTCGAAGCACATCGACGTGCGGCATCACTTCCTCAGGCAGCTCGTAGATGAGAAGGAGGTAGAGATCATCCACGTAGCGTCGAAGTATCAGCATGCCGACTTCCTCACGAAGGCGCTACCTGAGAGAGAGTTTGTTTCCCACCGGGACTACGTGATGAACTTGAAGTGATTAGTCCGGGAGATCCTTTCGTCTTTGAGTCTCGTGTCTTTTTTTTTTATATATATTTTTGGTTTTTGTGTTGTTTGATTTACTGAGAAATCGAGTTCAAGATTGACAGGTGGAAATTATCGCAAGTATTTCTGGTTTAATGGTTGGCAATAATGCAAACCGATAGGAATTCTGACGAATGTTCCTGGTTGAAGGGTATTTAGTGTTCTGACAAGAACGCAGTTTGAGATGAAGGGAATGTCTTGCACTAAATTTCATTTCGGTCAGGTATGTGGTATGGGATGATAGTAAGGAGAGAAATATTTAAGTTCGGGTGTGGTCTTGTCAAGGCGGCGAGTAGGGGGGCTGCTAGATGTACTCACAGCATCGACAGATCATTGCAAGCAAGAAATTTCCGAGCAAATGGAGCGGGGAGTTTGGAGGTTCAGCTGTTGCTTTGGATTAGATTTTGGTGGTACCAACTTTGCCGCATATTTCAGGATTGAGGGTGGAGGTATGTGTGTGTCTACAACGGATGTGGTGTTTGTGTGTTGTGGCTCCTCACTTGTTTTTCTTTCCTCTTTTTCCTCCTTCCTGTGTGCAATCAAGTCTTTTCTCCCCGGTTATCACGCTACCCCGGCTATCACGCCACGGCTTCCACGCCAATCCTGGCTATCACGCCACCCGGCTATCACGCCTTCCGGACTACCACGTCCTTACTTATACCTTTACACCACGACTATCACGCCACCAGGCTTTCACGCCACGTCCAGAGATACCATACCCGAGCTATCACGCTCCATCCCAAAGTAGAAGGCTGTCACGCCCATCATAGTTCCTACACTGTACCGTTGGCGGCTACCGCGCCGCTGGCTCTTTTGGTTCCCAACCGAGGGACCCCGCGCGCCAAGGCACCGACGCTCAAAGCTACTCAACAGCCACAGCAGTAGCTGCTTGTTGATGGTATGTTGACCTCGCGACACACCTGGGTTTGAAACCCGCACATCCACGGCCCCACGGCAAGCATCTCGGCAAGCATCGCCCCTTCTTCGCAGTCGATATCTGAAGCTTTCATGTCGTCCGCGTGCGTGTTGATGGGCTACATGATACGCCGAGCAGTAAGCGGTATCACACGCAGCAGACGCGACCCGCCGGGGTACGATACATTTCCTCCGCCTTTGGGCCGAAACGCGTGTTTTTTGGTTCTGAACCAAATGCGCGCGCTAATTTGAAAGCCGGTGTAGATGCCCACTGCGAAAGAATCGCGTGATGAGCTCTACGTCCAGCGCAACAAACACAAACAGGTTGGGGAAAGCTATACCGTATATGGCACAAGGTAACACACCCCCTTGACAATTTTTCAAAGCTCGATTACTCCACGATGAAGAGGATGCGTAAACGAAACGATACATTTTTGGAAAGCTCTCCACGAGACGGTTCCAACGCCGCCGTTTTCGGCGCCGCGACTCTTTCTGTTGTTGAGAAATTGAGATTTGAAAATCGGTTCTGGGGGTGTATTATCTAGTGTCATTTACGGTAGGCGCTATAAGGGAGAAGAGCGAGGCTACGACTGCTCGACAACCATCACCTGGGTTGGATCAAGTCCTTGTCAACGGTCGACGGGTAGAGTGCCTCTTAGGCACCTTCTTCGACACCTCCTTCGGCGTTGTCGAACACTCTTCTTGCGATACGTCATTTAATATTCGAAGCCAAGACTGCTGTTCTGCTGTTCGTGCTAGGTTTGGCGCCGACACGCTGGCTGAAATCAACTGCTAGCGATACATCCCGGAGAGTCCTCGATGCGCTACTCTCCCAAAGGCACGATGATACTGCTGCAACCTATCTAGGACTCTCTCTCTCTCATTATCTGCTACTGACTCTCACGCTCCCGCGCTTCGAATCTTCTGTATTCTGAAACACTTAAACCAAAAAAAAAGAGTCTGCCACCGAACCGCAGGCGGTCCGTTGGTTTTGTGTCACTCGTCAGGTTGTTGCCGTTCGCGGCGGGTACTACCCCCCCGCTCTAACAAGCCTGCCTACAGCAGTACTGTGCTGCCCACCCGCCTTCTTTCTCCCACCACACAGTCTGCACGCAACACACGGAACACAAAGGCATGCCCACACGTCGGCTCTGGCTTTCGTCTGCTGATCTGAGAGAGCGAGGTAAGTGGAACCGCCACGTGCTGCACCGCTACGATTTTGATTCAAAACCAAACTGACTTCATCGCGTGTCAGGTGCTGTTTGATGTTCCGCCCACACCGACTCAGATTAAACTGCGAGCGCATGCTCTCTTAGTTTTCACCAAGTGCCGGACATAATCGAACGTCCAAGGCGGTCATGACGCGTCGCGTGTTGCTGGTGTGTTTCATATCTTTGTGTTGGCGTGCTGCGGGCGGCGCGGTTGGGATTAAGGGTAAGTTGAACCGCTCGCGGGTGTGTAGTGTATTACCCCGAGACGCTGAAAAGATGGAGACACGCGAGGCATCTCCTCCCGGGGGTGCTTGAACAGAGAGAGAGATACATAGCAAATGGTCTAAACGTGCTAGTTATGCTTGTGCTTGTAGATTCGTAGGCATGCGCACGATGTACCTCGATGGGAAATTATTTCTTTATCGGCCGTTCTTTAGGGTTGAAGTTGGCGCCTTGGCTCCAGAGGCGGTTTGCTCTCTGCTTGGGTTGACAACACGATCTTGCTCACGATTTCTTTGGTGTGAGAAAACGCCAAGAACGAAGCAGGCAAGCGTAATAGTCTTTGTATCGCAAGCACCCCTTGTGTCTTTTGGGCTGAACAAACCCTCGGGTGCTTAACAAGTTACACAACGTGATGACACGATAGGGTATCGAGTTGTTTTTCTTGTGTGTTCAGTCGCAGCAGGTCAGGTACGATTTGTCATCCGGAATGTCCCTTTACTCCGTAGCAAGCCACACCGCGGCAGAAGGACTGCACTTTTTCGGGATCAAATGCACGAGTGCTGCCCGCCAGACATCATTGGCAATAGCGTCAAAATATTGAACAGCGAGCGTGCTGTATTATTTCCCCTGTATCCAAGGTTTTGAACAGGTCACGACCTGACCTGATCCATAGGACTTTCACCGATCAGCACAGGCCGTGAAGTTGATCGGATCTGAACTTCCACACGGACGGATACTTGTACATGGTTGAGAGGATTATGTAGAAGCATGGTTCGCGCGCAGCCATCCCTCGAATACATGTATTATGTGGCCGTCGATGGAGAGATGAGGTCGTCATCAAACGCCAGGCCGAGGCTGCACACAACACGGCCCACTGCTGGTTTCACATGTCAATCCCTGAAGACGCTGGTGGAGACATGTCAATCGTTCTTTATCTTGTTCGAGAGCAATGCCGACTGTTTCCTTTTTCTCTTTGGCTGACTTACAAAAATGCAGGGGGGCGGTGCCAACTGCTAAATAGAAGGAGCCGATAAGGGATTAGAGACAAGCAATGTTGACGCTGGCTCCATTTCAATACATAAAACCCAAAATAAAAAAGAATAGCACCCTCCCCGCCGTTTTGGTTCTATGCGTTCTACTGTTATCAGTAGAAGACACCACGAAGAGGCATGTCCTGTGCGCTGCCACGTTTAGGTTTGCTGCTGGAGCTGAAATATCGAACGTCGCGGCAGCCCCTGAAACCAGCCCGAAATCCGCGCCGGAACTTGCCAGAACCACACACTTTTCACAGCCGTGCTCACCGCCACGGACGGTAACCCCAAAACGGTGGATCGTCAGCAGCAGCTAGTGGCATCAGCTACTGCATTCCACCCGCAGTTCAGGAGATTGGGGCTGGCGGTAGCGAGCCCAAGAAGTACAACACGCATGGTGTCGGTCTAATTTGCCTAGATTTGTGAGGTCGCAGGCCACTACTACGACCCTCGATATCACCACTATCCATGAAGCAGATTTGAGCGCGCCAACACACACCGCTGCTATATGGTGTCCTCTAGTGATATCAGTAGAATGCATTGAACCTACAAATAGTGCAAACCCGACCTTGTCTGAGCGTCTACCGATCGATTTGGCTCTATTGACTTGACTTAAGGTTGGTGTGACATTATCTTGATTTCAAAGGAGGAGTCATGCGGAGGTAGACGCGTGAACTACATGTTTAGAGCAGCCTCTAGTGCCGCCCTGCGCGAAAATTTACCATTTCTGTTTTTCGCGTTGCCTTCCGACTGGCGTTGTGAGTCTCTTTAAGCATTTTCTGGTGCTCTTGAGTTTGTTTTCAAAATTGGTCAGCATCGAAAATCCACGTCTTCCAACGCTACTCATCCCGTGACAATATTACCCCATGACTTGGACTTCCAGCTATATCCTGCCATTCTTTCCCGAGGACTACCGTTCAGATTTCTTGTACGCAGATCCCGCAACAGCACGTACAGCCTTTGGACCCTCTAAAATTGATGGTTACCACGTACAGCTCACAGCATGGACTACTGCTTCTGTTGTCTCGTCAATAGGTTGGCAAGACTTGTTTCCTCCACCGACTCCTACGTTCCGTGAAGTCGGGGCTTCGCCAATGATCAGCAAGAGCAAGACCCGTGAGGCCCGCAAGCGACGTCCCGCGCTACGAAGGTACACATGACCAAACGGGATGCAAAATACGGGCGTAACTAACCCACCAACGACCTGGCGACCCATCCGCGAACCATCTTATTCATGTGATACCTGCGGCATTCGGGATCTTTTCGGACGCTTGGAGCGCCTTTGAGTAGTGTCGGTTGGAGCTGTTGTCGCTTGAAGGATGGTACTGTAGTTCTGCAGCGTTTGGCGTTGTTTTCTACAGTAGGTCTCCCTGAAGCGTTCGGTATAGAAGTTGTGGAGCGCATGTGGGACGACGGCAGTTTCTCTTCTAGAAGTCAATATGGAATCACGAGGCCTCCGCAAGGGTGTTCCTGTTGCGAGGTGCATATTTTGAGGAAGGAAGGTGGCCCTATTCAGGGCTCCCATACATACGTATTCGACCTGGTGTGCATGGTTCGAGTATGGTCGCACATGCGATGACGGCTATGTCGCAGCACCGGAAACTCCCATCGCCTCTGCCACTCGGGGCATTGACACTTTTGGGCGTTCCCGTGGAACGCACACCCCCACATTGGTGCGGCCGGAGACGAGCGGTTTTGGAACTGTCATGGGCAACGATCCTTGTCACATGACTGTCATTTACGTTGCTCAGTAATTCTTGCCTGCTTCACGCACACATGCATGCAGTGACCGCTTGATCTTCCCTGTGGAGATTCGTCTCATGTGATATTGCCGTGCTCCCGCTTGTCTGTTACCATTGTACGCCACTGCGGTAGGTCTCACCTCCTGGTGGCAATTGCGATGTCAGCCATGACTGTGAGGATCGTGGAAAGCAACAGTGAGCGGCGAAGACTCATCATGTTGTCGGCGGTGTTGGGCTGGGGGGGGTCTGCCTACGGCGTCGAAGTTGGAAACGCTGTGTCCGTCCTGCTCATGACCCCGCGATAGCCTACCGGAAATACTGCATGATACATGATATCGAGTGCAGCTACAGCTTCAAGTGCGGTGGATGTACCTGTCTGGGGGTAATCGTTAGTGTTTTTTGGTGGCGCATCAGCACAAATGCCCAGGACTCCTAGCGTGTGTCTTGTAGGCTAGCGGAGGTGTGAAATGCGCACATGGGTTTTCGATTCCTCCCCCTCACCGGTGACTTTGCTTCTGGTGCGCGCCGAGCAGGGCTGGTTGAGTTTCCGTCTGGTGCCAGGTGCATGTGGAAAAACCTGCCGCACCCGGTTCAGTTCGCGATCATATTTCTGGTGAGTGAGCGCAATGTTGACTATGCCCTCCACGCTGCAACGTGAGGTCATTTGGGTCAACAATTCCGTTGAATAGATGTATTTGCTACGTTGTTGGGCCTTTCGGGCATGCTGCTGCCGCTTTGTGCCTCCAGTACAACATCAAGCGGCCGGACGTATCGATGGCCGCCAGTCGAACAAGCCCAACTTGACGTGTCGTCATGACGAAACCGAGCTCATTTCGACTTTGGCGGCGTGGTGCGTTATGGTGCCCCGACTCCCGCCACACATGCTTGCGCTCCTGTTCGCAGTCCACCGGATTTTCGGCAAGCTTGACAACGCAGCGTACGCTCGGCTATCTCGTGCCGTAACTGCTTGGATGAATGAGAGGCGGCATGCACATCAAGGTTAGTCGAAGACGCGCGACGGCATCGGGGGCTGGACGCTATTGCACTACCATAGGACTTCAAGAGAGTTGGAATTCGATAGGTACCAATTTGCCTTTCTGCGGCGGTGAGGCAGTTTTCAGGGTAAGGATTCCACGGGTTCGCTTCGGTACTGTAGGGCCCTCGCGTACGATTTGCTGCGAATGCGCGCGATACATCGATGCGGCCACCTTGCACGACAAGAGATGTTGCGTGGGGAGGCGGCCAATATGTGTAAGTACACTCGAGAGGATTTATTTGTTGCTCCTTGTTTCGTGTTTGTGTTTTTCCAGCATGCCTCCGTCTAGTAGTCATGAGCTGTGCACCATAGCCTTGTCAAGAGTTCAGTGCACGCTTGAGGGGGCTCAAGGACAGCAGTAAACGGTGCGCAATGTGTATATATCTCGTTTTACACGTCCATTGGTACAAAGGCGGCGTCCAGGGGAAAATTGGCAAAGCCACCGCCAGGATAGCCGCGTGTTTTTTACGAATGTGTGGTGCTGTCAGCAATGGTTTCCCCTTCATGTTTCGGCTTAGGCAGGCGTAAGTAGGCCAGACTCGCAACATCGGTCGTTGCTAGCCGCTGGTATCTTCCATAAAAAAGGGGTTGGGTATGGTGAAGGGTTTGAAGCCATGTGTAAATATCGTACTCTACAGATAACGTTTTGAATCTGCAGCACGGGTGCTTCTGTTGCCCGGCGTTTCGTTCATACCCTGTCCTGTCTACTCGACGGGGGGTGGTAAGAGAGTAGCAGTTCGCATTCTTGTTGCCTTGCTTTCAATGCCGGTGGAAACGGTGCTGCTTCGTATCCACGAGGGGCAGGGAAGGGGAAGTTTCGATTAAGAACGCCACTTACGGATCACAATCCGAACAAAGGGCTGTGCAGTTGCCTCGCTTTCAACGAAGGTGGAAATGGTGCTCCGTATTGCATATATATCCGGGGCAGGCAAGGGGGAGGTTCGAAAAAGAATCCCACCATGGTGTGCTGATGGATCACCATCTGGACACAAGGCTGTGCTTGCACAGTTGTCCTTTTCGTTAACGAGGCCTTCCTTTCGCCCTTCCGGCGCGGTTCTGGAAAAACCCCGTCGGTGAAGACCAGATCGATTGATTTCTCACCCTCCTTAGCCGGTTCCTCGTCCGCCGTACCCCCTCCAGTCTTTACTCTAACGCCATCTGGTTGTCCTTCTGGGTATCTACTTGCACCAACCAGGGGTGTACAACAAACTGGCTTGGGCCTGGTGCACCAGTCCAAATATTTGCACTGCCTGATATATACGAGAGGACCAACTGCATGTTATCATGCACCAGGTTTTTTGGCGCTTACCGTGAACAACGATTTCAACAAGATGAAGTCCCGACCGAAAAGTTGCTTCGTGATGAGCCTGCACAAGTGTGTAGCCTGGCCCATCGATCACTACGTGCTCCACGCAACGCGATGAAAAACAACGGAAGTGCCGATTGGTACAAGTTTTTCGCATGAAACAACGACCCATTAATCTTCGGCAAGTCAAGGAGAGCCGGAACGGTTTGGAAGCACATTCTAGGAAAGAACGAAGTCTTTGATCCCGACCTACAAGCAATAAATAACGAAACCTCAAGGCGTTTGATATACCTAAGGGGGTAAACCTGTTGGAACACAGGACGAAATGCTACATACCCCGATCACAGGCTAAACGCGGAGGGCGGTGAAATCTGCGGTTCTTCCGCACCGTGCAAACACGTCAATTTCTACCACATTAGTAGCAAGGGATGTCTATTCTTGCCTTGATATTTCACGTGCCATAGTAAAATACCCTCGCACCCACACGCGTCACTCTTGCTGCCGGCGGGCTGCCTCCACTGATTCCAACGTGACGCCTGACCCCGACCGACAGAAAAGACCGACCAGTCAGCGGTAACCCAACACCCCACTTCCTCTACGCTCCTTACTCGGGCTTCGGCTCCCCTATCTATCTTCGCGGTTATTTTCATGCTCAAGTGTGCTGCTGCTTGGCCCCTTGTAAACTCTGCATGCAAACACGAAGGCATCCTCATCAAACACATTTACCTGTCGCGTCGGGAAGAGTAAGCCGGAAATCCAGCTCGTGTCTCGAGCACCCCCCCCCCTCGCGTAACGTAGCGTGTACTCGGTTTAGATTCAAATGCCGGGAAGCGGAAGGAGTCCCTGTGATCGCCGTAGTCGTCGTTGCATCTGGCGGCAGACGGGACGCCGACGGTCGGAGTGGTGTTTGCCCTCTCTCTTTCTTTTTCTCTCGCCGAAGCCGAGGACGCTCGCGAGCCGTGGGCGACGGGGATCGAAGAGGTAAGGTATGACTAAATGGGAGTGGAACTCAACGTTATGGGAGGGCTACAGCTACTGATCGACAATCGGGAGGGGGGCGGGGTTCGGGGAGAGTGGAGGCGGGGGTGATCCGGAGACTGCTGAGGCAACCACTACCGATGTCTCCCCTTGTGAAACGCTTTCCTGCTCCCCCTATAGGCACTTGTTGGGCCACGCGCGCCACGACCGCCCTCCTGGCGCCGAGGAAGACCATGCCACGGGTCCCCCTCGACGCTAGCGTGTCCCGACACAGGCAGGGTGACACTTGGGCCGAGGCGCGCCCTAGCTCTCGCAATCCGCTTGCTTGCCCTAGCAGCAGGAACTTGCTACAAGCGGACGCAAAGCTTGCGGGGTGCGAAACAAGCACAAGCAAGGGAAAATGGAAAGTCGCCTCTAATGGTCAGTTCACGGGCGTAATGAATTCCGCCGCAACAACTGAGAATGGTGGCGGATCGTGAAAATCATTATTTCTACCGGCGGGAGTAAATTTCTAAGAAAAAACGAGCTGCTGAGACCCTTTCGCTGTGCAACTGAACGCATGAACAGGATGTCGAAGACGAGGAACAAAGCCAGAGCACTGCTGTTTCCAATGAGCTACGGCTCTACCTTCGGGTAGGACGGGAAGGACACACCGAGCCGGACAGACATCTGCTTTATTGTACTTCTGACGGGACCTCGCTCGCTAAGAGTGGCTCGAAGATTTGATCTGTCGATACTGTGTCGTCCATATAGGTGATTTGTTCCGATCGAGGACCACGCAGACAATAACGACTCTTCAACTGCGCCTGCCTTCATTTTTCAAGCGAGAAGGGCGAAACTGCTTAGGTGCGAACTGCGGAAATCAAGATTGAAATACTCCGACAATGGAACTCTCGACATAAGCAGAAAGCTACCGGCTAGACTCGAGAGGAGCAAAGGCAAACGCAAGCGGCATGCGCACACTCAAAATCCGACAACGAAACGGATAGTAGCTCTACAAAAGAGTAGCAGAGGAATATTAATCCACGGTTCGAGGTTTAGTTCTCCGAACGGACTTAGCGAACAAGCCAACAACTACGAAGGCTATGTAAACCCGCACCGTCAATCCGCCGCCGTTTTTCATTGGACCCGCACTACATCGGCCCGGCTCTCGTTGGACGAGACAGCAGAGTGAACGGTCACGACCTGGGGTGTGATAGACACTGGTAAAAGAGCAATGAACTTGTGCCCAAACGGGAGGCTACCTACAAACTCCATGCACGCATGCCAATGAAAACGAAAAGCACCCAACAAACGAGCGGGAACCTAGACGGTTTAATAAAATAATAACCCAACAGCTTCAGCAACGTGTGCGTAACCCCCTTCTCACAATTAAGTTGATGAAGGTCTTCAACCCCACCTCGAACAGAAATATGGTGCCCTCGTCCAACATGCCT